TTTTTTCGCCCCCCCCCCCGCCCCCCGTCCTCTCCGTAAGAATGTTGATCCTCGTTAAGACAAATACCGGAAAATTCTTCCGAGGACGATTTAAAAAATATTCCTTCGGATCATCGGCAACGTCTACCACCGATAAATGGTCAGACCGTTTCCTATTCGTTGTTGATCCGTAAGCTGACAGGATTTTCATTATTATTATTATTATTAATATTATTATTATTAGTAATATTATTATTATTATGATTAATATTATTATTATTATTATTATTATATTATATTATATTATTATTATTAATATAAATGGGAGAAACAGTAAGCTTCATTTTGTAACGTATGACGTATTATATAATACGCGGGAACCATATTGGATACGCGAAGCTCAAATATAAAATATAAAAATAAATACATATTTAAGAGAAAAAAATGATTGTGTGTAGAGGGATGGGGGATGATGAGTGAACAAAGTTTCAGTTTTATATACGCAAGAAGACGAACAAATTTGTATTCGACGTGCACTCTGTGTGCGTTTATGAATCGTGTTGATTGAAAATGGGGTTAGAAGAAGAGAGAGAATAAAATAAAACAAAAACGAACAAAAAAGAAGATGATAATTAAATAAACAAACAAACAAACAAAGCAAGTAATGGCGCGAATTTAATGCGAGCACTGATTAATCGGCGACTACTTCGTTTCTTATGACGTATCTTGAAAATATTTGTATGTAAATGAATGACAAAAATAATAAAAAGTATACGCTGTACACGTTTCTTGTGTAATATTCTTTTCTTTTTTATTTTTGTGCTACGTTATTTAATTTTTATTAAATGCTTTTAAATGTGTAAATATATTTTCAGACGAACTGAGCGAGCTACGAGGTTTTACATTTATTTTTTTGGTGCGATATTATTTAATGTTATTTACATTTTCTATTTATAAAGATCCTCATTTTTTTTGGGGCTCTGAGTATATGTGTAAATATATTTTAGAAAACAACTGGCTAGGTTTTGCATTTTTTTTAATGCATTATTATTTATAATTTGATTTAAATTTTCTATTTATAAAGATCCTAATTTTTTTGGGCTCTGAGTATATGTGTAAATAATATTTTAGGAAACAACTGGCTAGGTTTTACATTTTTTTTAATGCATTTGATTTAAATTTTCTATTTAAAGATCCTCATTTCTTGGGACCCTGAGGATATTTGCAAAGAATATTTTAAGCATCACGGAGCTAGGTTTGTACATTTTTTCACAGTAAGATATTATTTAATTGTACTTAAATTTTGTATTCAAGGATCCAAAAGCATTGTACGGATCCTTGAAATATATTTTAAAGGAAATCTTGAGAACCACTGAGCTAGAGATTTGTGACCTTCCAGGTCGCCCAAGTAGGACACTTCGTTTTCTTGACGTTCACCGTTTTACATTATCTTTCACCTAGTATAAATCCTTGCCATTTTCTACCTACTCGACTAAAGTTCGTTTCACCAGATGTTAAAGCTATCTTTATCTTTTTATTCATTTATTTATTACATTATAGTTCGGTTTAATTATGAAGATCTCAACTCTATGCGCGTGTATAATAATATGAAAGGAAGTTGTATAAAATAACTGGCACAAGTATGCTTTAAATAGGCATGACATTGCTATCGATTATGACATCATTTTCTTATTCGTTATCACCTTTCCCATGAATGCTATTTACGTTTATATATATATATATATATATACATATTATATATACAACTGCAAGACAAGTAAGATACATTATACAATAACATCAGTTATTTGTATATATATTGCAAGGCAAATAAGATAAATTATACAATAACGCTAGTTTAAATATTTGTCTTAACAAATTTTCATCCAATTAAATTATTTACAGACTTTTGATTGGATACATTTTTAAAAAAGTGTTTTTTCTTCTTCTTATATTTAGTAAACGTAAAATTATTCAAAGAAATAATAATCATAGGATTATGACATCGTATTTTTAATTGGTATAACATTCATCATGAATATTATTTACGTTATATATAATCGATAATGTGGTGGTAACAGTTATACAATAATTCTATAATAGTTTCAATATATATATTTAGATATTATTATTTTCTATGAACTGTTATAAACCGGATTTTTTTTCTTTTTTGGATACCTTTTAGAAAAATATTCTTTTACGTGAGAGTCAAATTATTTACAAAGAAACAATAGTCATAGATTATGATGAGATCATTTGATCATGTTTTATTTATCATATTTACCGTGAATGTTATTTATATAATATCATTAACAACGAGTTTGTAATTATACAATAATTCACATTTAAATATTTCAAATTATTCTTTGTTTAAAAAACATTTTGTTAAATAGTTTATTTAACATTTACTAAACATAAAATATTAATCTAACCAAAAGAGTAATAATCATCGATATAAATTTTAATATGTAATAACAAATAATTGAAAATGATTTATATAAATAAGTGTAGAAAATAAAGAATAATATCTAATAATAATAATAATTGAAATATGTAATCTCCGTCTGATTCCATCTTGGGATCATCGGACTTCAAAGTAGAAGCGAGCATTACATTGATGACGTCACCTTCCTTTCTTCACCCACAGATCTCGCGATGATATAAGAAGAACGAGGCTATGACACAATATTCATTTTCCTTCTCCGTCTCATATTGTCAGTATTTTCTTCTTTTTTTTTTTTTTTTACAGCGCAGAATCGTGTGACGTCGCAATCTTTACTAATAGAATCCATGTAAAATAAAAGAGAGAGAGAGATATATATATATAAGACACAGATATACACATTGACACGTTTATTAGAACAGGATCGTGATACGTACGTTAAGCTCGAGTGACGTCATCGTTTTACATACGTACATACAGGGTCTACGATCGTAAAGATTAAAAAAAGTAATAAAAATAAATAAATAAAAGAGACAACGTAATATAATCAATTATAAGTGTTAAACACTACTCATGTGTCAGGAACGCGATGCGACACTTGTATCATTCGAAAACACATTAAGAAGATAATTTCGAAGAGTATTTTTTTTTCTTTTTCATTGATACACAGTGAAAAAAATGTTTTTCTTTATCTCTTTCGTTATATTATTATGTTATTTGAAAAATGTTAAGGAGTAAAAAGAAAACGTGTTTTTCTCGAGTTGGCAAGATAAGTAAAATACATTCGTGAATGTCTTCTTAATCGTATCGTACACTATCGATTTACATATCTTACAATTAATTAGAAAAAGACATTTGCGTAATGTTGTCTCCTCTTCTCTTTTTAATTTACTATAATAAGAATGAGTAGTAGTAGACGAATACAATATTTTGAGTCATCGATAAATTTGTGCAAATGAAGAACGTCTAGCATAACATAACACGTTTAAAAATATCGCTCAGAGATAAGATATTTTTCTTATTTTTTTTCCTCTATTTTTTTTTTTCCCCCTTTTTTTTTTTATTTATTATTGAAGAAAGAGATAAGATTAATACGTAGGAATGGGTGCGGTAGAAATCGTATAAATATTTTACTTTCGAAGGTAAACAATTTTCGAAGTAAATCTCAAGAGAGAGAGAGAGAGAGAGATAGGGATGATAAAATTCAGAAGAATCAAGATCGTTGCGAGAAAAGGAATGGCAGAGGGGTGGTGGATTTGAGAATGGGTGCGCATTGGATCGATATCTCATCGGGGCTTGCGGGCACGCGTTTTCCCTGAGGGTTGTTTTAGACGACGACGACGACGACGACGACTACGACTATGACTACGACACTGGCGCCGCTGCTCTTCTAGTTGCGACAACATGCATCACGAGAGAGATCAATTTTTCTTCATCGAACCAAATTCCAATTTCTACGTTCCATTTCTTTTTTACCCTTTCCCTTCATGTTTTTATCGTTGTTGTTTATAATTATACACACACACACACACACAACGCACACGAATTATGGAAGTTATTAATAAAAATAGTTTTGATAGGGGTGGGGAAGCAATGGGAGGGGGATGAAAACGTAACGCAAGAGTCGCCATCATCGATCCGTTTTGTCGACAACAAAATAACAAAATTGGGGGTAGTTTATGGTAATTTTGTTCACTCCCAAATAGAACTCGTTCCTACGAACCCACCAGCTTATTGTAGTTTTACGATTTCTTCTACCCTTGCGAGAGAAAATTGACGAGCACCCGGATTGGTCGGTGGGTGTTTGCCCGCGACTCGCCGGCGCGCCCTTTTGTCGAAATAAAAAAGAAAAAAAAAGAAAACAATCTTTCCAGTTATACAATGGACGTTTTATTTTACATACGAACGAGTCAATACAATGTGCGACCCATAACAATCGTTGTACGCGAAATGGAAATTAAAAATGAAAATATACAAATAAACGAAACATTTTATCTTTAGTTAATTCCAAATTTGTACCATCCCTAACGGTGTTAGCTCGTGTTAACTAAAACCAACAGCCTAAAAAAAAAAAGAAAAAAAGGTCCTGTATACCCTAAGAAAGAGAAAAAAAACCTCGAAAAAAAACAAACAAGCAGGAAAAATAATAAGAATTAGGTATGTTGAAAAGAATAGGGAGGGATTAATAAAAAAAAAAATGGTCTGGCAAACACGTTGCTCTGACCTTCTCCAGTTTCGTGTAGGTCCTCGGGTTGCACCCGAATCCTTGCTGGTGGTTCGGTTTAAGTGGATGGTGGATGGTGGGGCGGGGGGGCGGCCAAGGAGAAAAGAAAAGGGGAAGTCTGGACACGGAACCACCGGTACGGCTTTAAAAGCAACTTGCGGCAAGAGCAGTTATAGAGAAGAAAAAGTGGGAGGGAGGGAGGGAGGGAGGGAGAGTTGGTGCAGGCGCTGATGCCGGTATGGCGCGGTGCGGTGCGCTCATCGGGCCGCAGTTATGGTGGGGGTAACATAAAATGGTGGTGGGGGTAGGAGGTTCCCCTACGATGGCGTGGTGAACCCATTCCTTCGTTCCATACGCTTTAATCGAAAGTCAGATCGCCGCGGACTGCCGCGTAGTCACGCGGACGTTCGTTTATCAAGTTTTTTTTCTCACCATCCAAAAATATAATATTTCTCTATTTGCATTATATATTCGTTTCCCCCCCCCCCGCCCCTCGGGATTTTTCTTAACTCGAAGGTAATTTTTCTCTTCAATTCCTATTTTTTTTTTTCCTTATTTTCTTTTTTTTTCTTTCCCATTTCCTTTCTAATACGCGCGTTTATTCGCTTTCCAGAGAGAGAAAGAGAGAGAGAGAGAGAAAGTATAATATCCCTGTAACATAAATCAACGACGATGGTTAGAAAGTGTGTCATCTTTTTAGCAACAATTACGTGTTTCTTTATAGATTAGCTTTGTTTTCTAAGGGATTAGAAATATTTATTTATTCTATAGTGTGTTAAAATACGAGTGAGAATATTCGGGATTTATTCGTGATAGGTAACAGTGTAAACAAGAGAGGAGAAATAAAAGGTGATGTGTATTACATACTGAGAGTATAGGATTCGTGTAGGAGTAAAGTTCACTGGCCGTACAAAGTACTGGTAATGTTGATAGTTCTTAGTTACACATTACACACACACACATATATATATATATATATAAATATCGAGAGTTCACTCTGTTATTTCGTTTATTTAATTATTAAAACATCCGAATGGTGGTTAGCACGTATTTATTAACGTGTTTAGAATAAAAGAAAAAATTTCTTGGAACACGTGGCACGTGGTGAAGAAGATCTAATTTCACGGAACAAGATATCACATCATCTCGATGTTCAAAGCTCGAGATTCCTCGTAAACAATAGACCTAGACCAGACACCTTGGAACTGTGTGGCGCCAAATGACGAGGGTTACTGATACCACCAACCACTCCTACGCATTCAACTACACTTCCTTGTGTTGAATACGTGCAATTACACTTTACCGAGTATTATTGTTAAAGTAATCGAATAACTTTTTTACCAAAAATTTAACACAATGCAATCGATTTTTCTCGAATATCGAAACGTCAATTAACTTTAATGACATTCGCATTACACTAACGTGCTTACGTACTTCGTTATTTACTCAAGAAGTTTCATTACAGTAATTGAGAGACATGTTTAAAATAACAAAACAAAAATATGTCAGACTACGAGTTATCGTTCGCAATCGTGGAAAGTTTAAGAAGTATAGACACGTGCATGCGCTCTTTCAATATGTTCGATAATGCGAGATAAGAATTAGAACACTAAACGATATTACACGATTGATGATACTCTTCGATGCAATTCGAGAGGATCGATTTTTCGATTCGCATTTTACTTCCCTTGGGATTGAAATTCTTTCTCGTTTTAACATGATCCACCCCTATTACTGTCTTCTCAAAATCAAACAAGGAAATATACTCTATTTTATACCAAAGAAAAATATTTATCTTTCGGCTTTTAATTTCATTGAATGTTCTTTGAATTTGATTGAAAGTTTCGTGTCGATTTATAAACAAACAAAAATTTATATTTAAAATAAATATTATTTTTCAATATAGTAATATTAGAAATATATATATATAAAAAATTGTTGATTTTAAATTTATTATTCTTTTTTTTTTTTTATACAAAATCGACACAAATTTATTCAAGCAACCTGATACAATGTTTCAAATTGGTCACAATCGTATTTGAAAATAGTAACCAAAAATATAAAAAGGAGTTATCGAAAGTTGTTTCTAACGTGGAAACGAAATTCTCATTTAAATATCTTGCGTGACGAATACTTATTTAAACCATTAACTTACTAAGTTAATCGATAATTTCGAAAGAATCGAGCCTAGCGTGTTTCGAACTCTTATCGATTCCACTTTACGCACGATCAAGATTAAACTTTATTCGTTTACGTGTACACATTTTGATGATTTAATATCTAACGTAAGATTATTTGCAATTTTGTTGAAAATAAAAAAACGGGCAAGGAGATTTCTTCTTTCTTTCTTTCTTTCCTTTTCGTATATACATTTGACAGGGCCGTATTTAATTGGCGTGTTTTAACGAGATTTAAAGTAGAGATTAAATGCGAAATAAGTGGCGCGTACTTTTATACTAACACGTTCATGGTCCGGATACAAGCAATTTGCAATTTGATCGAGTGCTCTCTTGCTATCTCTCTATAATAATATTGACAACGAAAGTCTCGTTTTGCTGGATGAATTTGATCGACGCGTTGATGATGGTAGTAGATAGGTCGGTGCTCCGGATGATGTCAACGGTGATTGATATGTTTTTTTTTCATCTGATAATATTGAGTCAATAATTTTATAAAGTATTTTATTCTCTTTTATATTTATTATCTTATGATGAATTTTTTTGTAGTTATACTTCTCTTTTGGCGCGTTTTGGGAAGTGAAGTTAGATGCGACAGAAAAATCGACACCACGAAGTTGTCGATATTTACGATGAGCGGGAAAATTGAAGTTATTTTTGAGGTTATATTCGTTTTGATACGCTAAAGAAGTATAAATTCTTACGTGCGTACATAAGTACACACATCAGTTTTTTTATTTTTCATATTAATAGAATCAATTTCATATTAATAGAATAACGATATTTTAATCATTAACGATCCGCAAATATTTCAAGTTTACTTCCCACCAGGTCCAAGCTATTTTTCATGCAAAGAGAAACTGCGTACTCGACGTTTTTTTTGCAAGTGTAAAGAAGAAAATATTAATATCTTTTTAAGTGAAAATTTATTAAGCGTCAAATTCTACATAAAAAACTATCATACTATATAGGGCCTAAAATAAATAATTATTATGATAACTTAATAAGTAAAAGTGCCATGCTGTTTGTATGGCGGCATTGGTCCGTTAAGAATTAATAATAATTAGTTGTTTGGCTTTTTCGATTAAATTTCATTTTTATATTATTCGAAAAACTTTTGTAACGTTAATTTAATTTTTAAAGACAAACGATAATTATTGTATTGATATTAATTTCGGTTTTTTATAGATTATTTTTACATTTTATTTCTTTTTTTCATTCTTTTTATTATAGTATTGAAAAAACGTAGGACGAATATAGATACAGACGTCGAGATTGAGAGAGAGGGAGAGAAATAAAACAATAAATGCTGAATAACAATGACGTCTTCTCTCTTTACGAACGACTATTAAAATCCATACGGTGATACACGTATCTTAGGGTCAAAGATTACCACCGATTGACATTTATCGTTTCTCGATGTGAACTACGACCAAGTAAACTCAAACTAACGTTTCAAACGAGATTTTACTCTTACAATTAGAAGAAATAATTTTTTTTTTCTATTAGATAAAAAATTCCACATTCGTTTTACGATAACAAGATATAATTTTAATTTGATGCCAGCTATGCCAAAAAATTTCTAATTTGATCCAATTAATTTCAATTGAATTTATTTTCTAACGTGTCTGACCTGTTCTCTCTTATCCACGAAATCTTGTTTCTTTTTATTTCGAATCATCTTTATATTTAAAACGAATTACGTCAATTTCAACACGTAGATAAAAAAAAAGAAAAAGAAGAAGAAGAAGAAGAGGAGAGAGAGTGGAAATAATTACGGTGACTTTTCGTGTCAAAACGATTTAGACACGCATGGTGAAATCATGGAACGAGCGGGGAAAGTGAAACTAAAAAGAGGAGGTAGAAGAGGGTAAGAGGGGGAGGGGGTATCTCGTTTGCCAGAGACACGTGACGACCTTGAATCATTTCCTACGGTCAAAAGTTACTCTCCTATCGAAAAATTCACTCTATCAACGTTATATATTTTGTATTTTTTAATTCGAACTAATTATTAAACAAATTAACGTTTAATACGTATAGTATAGATTTTGTTATAATTTATCATTTTATTTTTGTTTTGTTTTGTATATTATATATCTCAATAAATTATTGTTAAAAGATTATACTAATGGAACTCGCTAATTGACAGCATCGCATTTAATTCGCTGTCCTTCGTTTATTGATGAGTTTTTTTTTCAATTCGTTCGATTATCGTTTATAGTTTTTATTCGACGCGTCCTTGAAAGATCGCGTGAGAACGCATAATGTTTCTTAAAACGAAGTATTACGAAATTCATTTCTTTCTCATTTTTTTTTCTCCCGTTAAAAGATATTTTTCTCGAATGTCTTGTGAACGTAATCATAAAACGAAATTTAAATTCAAGAATGTATATATATATATATTTGTAATGACCCTCTACGTTAAAATTTGTATATCGCGTGATAGTTGACATTTCGTCAGTAGTTGAAATCTTTAGTTAGCTATTGTTATTTGATAGGAATCAAAAGGGGGATAAAAAAAAACTAATACAATATAATGGGGATAGGATAGGCATCGTGCGAACTCGAACCATTAGCATTGGCACCGATGCGATACGTTAATGGCACATACACTGGCGATTCACGGTCTCGTTTATGTTCTTCCGTTTGAGAATGTATTATCTTTCGTATTGTAAGTTTGGTTTATTACTCACAAACTATACGATAAATACATGTCGCGGCATGTACTTACGTTAATAAATCGATTTTGATAGAGGAAAGAAAAAATATCTAATTTTTATCAATGTTCATCATAGCGTTTGACAATCGATCAGCTTATCAATTCATCGATAGAATATGATAACGATTACGATGAAATTTTAAAGAAGATTCGAATATGTTTATTGATGGTATAACTGACCTTATCCACGTGTACCGTTATCAGTTGGTAGTAGTAGTAGTAGTAGTAGTAGTAGTAGTAGTAGTGGTAACACTCTTTGTATTATTCGACAGACATTGTGTATTTTTACATAACATAAAATTGTTCTAACGGTTCTTTCATTGGTTTTTTTTATTTTACTTTTCAGATAACAGAAACGGTAGGCGTCCGGAGTAATAAAGAAGAACACTAAACAAACATAGTTGTGAAGATTTCTCGTTAACTTTTGCCATCGTGAACGATTGGATTTGTTTAAAATGAATTATTGATCGAAAGTTAGCGAAAAGAAAGAAGTAAGTAAGTAAGTAAGTAAGGAAGGAAGGAAGGAAGGTCGAGTGGTGCCGGGTTCGGCGACAAGACGCAGTTTAAAAGCTCGAAAAGCTCGAAAATATCGGAAGGAAGAACGAGACCGAAGAGAAGAAGAAGAATAAGAATAAGAAGAAGAGGCGCGAAGCGATTGGTGGTAACACTCGGTAGAATAGAGTAGCGTTTCTTGTGTCAGTAGTCCGGAGGCATATACCCAGGGTATATGCGTGGCGTATTAATAGACATTAGTGGCTAGTTGGTGGGGGGGACGACGCTCTTTGCTCGCGGGTGAAAATAGAAAAGAATGTTTTTGGAATCCAATTGGACTTGGTTGGCAGAACGATGGGTCAATATGGCCGACTTGGCCGAGCGGGTGGACGATCTGATATGCAGTTTCGACTCGGCTGGTGATACGACCATGGATACATTATCGATGCTGATATTCGGTTGGATGCTATTCGGTCTTGTTGTATTGTGCGTCGGCAAGTATGTCTACAATCGTTTTGTCTTAAACGATCTCGGTAGCTCACACGGTACGAAAGACGGCCATGTCTTTCACGGCGATAGTGTTGTGGTGACGACGAGTGGTACTGTTGCTGTTGCTGGTGGTGTTGTTGCCGCTGGTGCCCCCACCGGGGCTAAGTTTCTTTCTCATCAGGAGAGATCTAACAAATTATCAGTGTCATTGGTCGGTGCTCCCTCGGGCACCAGCTCGAAAACATCGACTACGACCGGTCCTACTGGAATCGGTGGTGCTGTTCTAGCTGCCTCTAACGCAGCTGCTTCTTTCGGGGGAGGTGCCAGCGGTTCATCCTCGACGATTTCCCTCGCACCCGCTGTCCCAACTTCCTCGACCTCTTCCCCTGGCTACGTACCGCCGACTCCCCCGGTCCGGAAACGACTGACGAGGAAGACTTCCGGTGCTCTTATCACTCCTGCTAGAAGCTCGAGGGCCCTTCATTTACCTACGGCGACCGGTGCTGACGCCGAAGCCGTTCGTTGGGTCAACGAACTGATCGTCTGGCTGCACTCGGACCTTGTCATCCTCAACGAACTTCTCGCCATTTGGGTGGCTTCCTTGAACGACTTTACTGCCGGCTCCGTCGACGAGGTCAGTCTTTCTTTCTTTTTTTCTCTCTCCCTCTCTCTCTCTCTTTCTCTTTCTTTCGTCATTCTAGAAGTGTTCCTCGTTAGCGTTCTTTTTCATTCGCGGAAGATTCCTCTTCGTGACCGAACTCGCACCGTGTCAGATGGCGCTCGGGAAATCTAAGAATAGCGACTCCAACCTGTTGGATGATTTCGTTTCGTAGATTAATTGTTCGAATGTTTCGTTTATCTCGTTAATCGGAATAAACAACACAAATGTTTGTTCCTATTTGTCGATCAGGAACAATCCAGTTTCGAAGTTTGATATTTCATTGGAGGTAATAAATACTAATGGGATTCGTGACGGTGTTAGATAAGACAACACACGGAACGTTTATTTGCACTTGTAGGCGTTTAGATTTTCAAGTGGATTTAAATCCCTCGTAAGATGAAACTTCTGTTATCCTTGGGACGGCCCTTAATTCAACGCACGAGATTAAAGTCAATTGATTCGAGCGAAAGGCGTTTTAAATCGACACAACGTGTCGTTCTTATTCGAATTTATCCGATTGAATTATCTCGTTGACGTGGCAAACTTGACCCCCCGACGTGTCTGAACAACCTAATGGAATCCAAAGCGTCTCGATCCGCTTACGAAAGAATGCTTCTCTTTGTTCCTTCTTACAACGAACCCTCTGGCCCCTTACGAAACATTATCTAACCCACCTAACACGCTAGATTCGTATTTTGAATCGCGGGCGTGTTTCCAACTACTCGTACATTCTCTCTTTTCTCTGACTCACGATGATTTATGACAAAAATGAAACGATTTGCTCGCGCGACTTCTCTTACGAATATTTTTTCTCAATTCGTTAGGGGATTATGAAATTTACACATCAATTTCTAACTTCTTTCTTTTACTTTTGCTGCTTTTTCTCTTTGTTTTCCTTTTTTTTTTTAAGAATTTTTTAAACAATGGAAATGAAATATATTATACATCTTAAATTCATTCGTTTAAAAGGTTTTTCGAATATTCGTTTTTATTAGTCATTATTTTGCTTTTAACAAAAAATTTGAGTAAAGGGGCTAAAAATAAACAGCAAACACTTAACACGATATCTGGGAATTAACAGTAGCTCTTGTTACAAATTTTTTCTAAGGTTTATTTTTCTTTAATTCAACGTAGAAAAATGTCAATGAAAAACTGAGAGATCGAGTGTCCAATTAAAGAGGAGCAAGATTTAACTTAATTAAAAACGTACCAGTGAAAGATGATGGAACCGAAATTGAATCATACGTATGACCTAAATCCGAACGAACTTATGGGCTGACCTGATGAATGGGAATTATGATATGAAATTAGCCTCTACCATCTGTGAATAGGTTTCTTTTCATAAGAAAATTATTTATAGATTATTCTATGCGTATGTGTGTAAAAGTGAACATACGTGAAATTATCGACAGCGTTGAGATTACGCGTACGTCCGGTCTTCGAGCTAACGGAAATGCGATATAAAGTAGATGCACTTTTTTTTTTCTCTCGTGCAGATCCAACAGGTCGAATCTCTCTCGAACATTATATATATTTTTTCTTTTTTTTTTTCAATAAATTTTTTATTTAAAATCTTAGCCAATTACTTGGGTAGCCAAAAGTGTTTACGCTAAAATGAGTTGTCCGAGAAGAAGAAAAAGAGAGAGAGAGAGAGAGAGAAAGAGAATCATAATTTACAGGCTGTAAACAGTTTTCATGTATTATTGCCAATTGGAATACCAATTTCTTGCCAAAACGCAACAATAATGTTATTATCTAATAGTACGTTTGTAGACACTTTGAAATTCTTGTTCATAGATGCTAGACATATGATTGGAACAAGTTGATCGATATAACAATATTATTTTGGACACTGTTTTATATATTTAACTCGATCAATATTAAATGTTTTAAATTTATTGTTTATTTATTTCTATTTTTTTGGTTATTGATTATTTAATTAATTCAACACATTGATAACAACACGTTTGATATTGCAGCATGGTGTGGGCGTCGAATTTGTACGCGTACTTCCTGAAACACATCCACCAACACTGTCGAATATTTTCTGCGAATGCGACTCGAAAGATGATGTGGTAAGTAATCAGTTTATCAATAATTAATCATTATTAATCATTATTTATATCCTGATATAAGGCAATACAGAATTCGATTATTAACAAGTCGATGCTGTAGGTTATCAGATCGTTAATAATTTAGCATGTTTTTCATACCCTGGAGAAAAAGTATACAAATTCTGAGACACTTTGTTCGCGATATAATGCTCCCCATTCATTCTGTTTTACGAATAGAAGAAGAAGGTCTTTATTCTGTCGTTTTCTCATTTTTTTTTCTTTTTTTTTTTTCTTCTTCTTCTTTTCATTTAGTCTCTCGTTCTCATCAAATTTTTTCGTTCTATAGACCATTACGTGCGACTGCGAGGCAACACCAGCCCTCCAGTTGAAAGCATTTCGTCAAAGAGGTGACAAATTGGAGTCTAGTCACTATCGTGTCAACGTTAATCGTTTCCGTGCACGATTGAACGTTGTTTGCATCACCGAAAAACTTCTCATCGATCTCAAATGCGACGGCTGGCCCGAGGTTTGTTTTTCTTTGTGTGTTTTACACTACAACCAATCGACAATTAATTTATGCATCCAAATGTTTACTAGAATCAATCGAAATTACTAGTAGTACTGTATACCTAAGCTTAAGTGTTTAAGCTTCATTTAAACAAATTCATTCCTAGAAAATTTATTAAATTGAAAAAATCTGAACCCCTTCGTTACTAACAACCCACGTACGGTTTGTTCGATACTCGTATTTTTAAAATGCTCGAACGAAAGATTGAAATTAGATTAATTTTCAAATATATAATTTACAAATCAATCATTTTGATTGTTTCGATTGGTTTTAATCTTGAAGAATAATTTTCTTTCGTAAAGTACTTTTGTGGTTTTACCTATTCGTGTTAGGGAAAGGAAAAAAAGGAAACTAAACGAATGATTGTATTAAATCGAAGGTAGCATGAGAGGAAATGAAAAAAGTTGTTTTGATGTTTCGTACCAGGTGAAGGTTTCCCTGGCACAGGTAGGAACAATAAAGAAGGATTTGGATGAGAGCCAACTACAGGAAGTAGTGACGGAAATTGTAGTTGGTGCTTTGAGGGGTACCAACGTTCATCTGAATCTATCACAATATCCAACTTGTCCACGATTATGGAGAGAACCACCTCCCCAACCTGGTTTCTCTTTACCAGTTCATTATGATAGTATGGTAAGAAATATTTATTATTTTAATCAATAATTAATGAACATGCAATTAATATCAAAATTCTGTGGTTATCCTAAATAATGAAATTTTAAGTGGAAAATTATTTGTAAAAGAAAATACATCTACGTGGGTATTAAAGGGGAAGTTTAAAACCAATGGATATACAATTTTATCTTCCACCGCTGTGATCTCAGATTTTTATTACCTTTAAAATGACGTATCACAAGATATGGGGTTGCTATTTAAAATTTCAAAAGAAGGGTAGAAATTGGGTGAAAGGTATGGAACATAAAATCGTTTAAATATCGATCTCAAATTTATCCATTCTATATCTGACTTATTTGTTTTACAAAATCGAAATTATTTAAAAAATTGAAAATTACGTAGGTGCTATTAAAGTTATGGTTAGAAGTGGGGTGGAATGCGTAAAAATTGTTTCGATATTGATTTCAAACTTATTCCATCGATATCTCTGACATACTTTATATTATATCAAAGTTGTTTTAAATAAAAAGTTTCTTACGATAACAAGTTTTAAAATGAACACGCTGTATACAAATATCTATTTTCGCTTATGTTTTTGCTATCATTGAAAAAAAGCAAAAGAAAAATTATTCTCCATTCTTTAACTTTTCAATCATGAAACCTACATTACTACAGTGTATCATCGATAAGCGTGTTTATCGATTCGAATGAAGTGGGCTGTACATGCGATTATTATTGAAGTAATTAGAACAGTACTATCTGTTGTTTATCCGATTAAAAGGAAAAATTACACAACAAAAAATATATGTTATTTTTTTTAATTAACGAATAAGCTTAATTAAAATAACAATGTACATTAATCGTTATAACATTATACTATCTTTTATCATTCGTATACTCGTTGATGTTTTAACATTTCGTTTATACAGAGTAGTTCAAATTCAATGATACACAAGGGATCTCCTCAACGTCTTCAAACACGTAATGCAACTTCTGCGACCCAGTTGCAACAACAACAACAACAACAACAACAACAACAACAACAACAACAATACTTGCCCGGTGAAAAGCGTTTGCTTGTAAAAGTTGTACGAGCTACAGAACTTGGTGGTCAACAGCCCTCGGTTGAACCATATTGCGTTGTCGAATTAGATGAACCACCGCAAAAGCATCAAACTTCTATCAAAAAGGATACAACCAATCCAGTTTGGGACGAAGCATTCTTGTTGTAAGTTAAAACTTATTTTTTCCTTTTCAATTTAAACGTGAAAATAAAAGGGTATGTATGTAGATCGTAAAAAAGAATTTTGTTGAATCCAGTGATGTCAGTCACAACACCACTGAGGTACTCTTGGAAATTTACGATCATGTAAATAAGAGTCAAAAATTCTTGGGACTTGGTATAGTAGGGGTCGAAGAACTTCTTGCAAATCCGAGCCAGAGGCAAATTATACCGTTGCAAGGTAGACCTTACGAGGAGGATGACGTCACTGGCACCCTCACCGTAGAGGTAATCGATTTTTCTTATCAACCCGTTGCATTCGTCTACTCGAGCTATGACCTATGACTTATGAATTATAACCCAGTTTTCTCATAAACATACAAACACACGTATACACATATACACATACACTAGCACATATTCAATAGTCATTTACACGGTTATATTTACTGTATCGATAAGAGTGCATGTTTTTTATATTTTTTTGATAGTGTATGATTTTTTGTTTTTGTTTACATACGCAGTTTCTTTTCATCGAGGGTGCTGAGGTGCCACAGATCGGAACGAAGCCTTACAAAGTGAAGGAGACAATAAAACCGATGTCACCGACTCGTACCTACAATCCAGCGACCAATCTCGTCAGCAGCAATAGTCTTAATTACAACAATGGTAACAGCACTCTTATCTTGTACGACAATACCACTCTGTCAGACGGGGGTAATTATCGATTGCTTGTCTCAAAGGTATTGCATACTTTGATGTGTGAATCCTTAGTGGTTTTTCGATTAGTCTGCCAATTTCCAATCCCTTTTTTCTCTTTCGTTCCTTTGAAATTTAAATAGACAACAACGAAAATACGATTTTTTTGTTCAATTTTACGCGCATATTTTTTTTTTTATCCTCGATTTATTCTATAATTTTTATACTTCGTATCGTTCGCGCAAAAATTGATTTATTAAACTCCTAAGGATTTTTCATTCATTTTTCTATACAAACGCGATTGGTTAAAATTGTTCATCATTCGGAGAAATTGTCACATTTCAATTAGATTTATTTTGTTCGAATATATTTTAATATATTATGTAAAATATATTTGATTCATATTATATTCGATTAGATTTGAATATTCTGATTGAAAACAATATCCTTCATTTCCGAATTCTCGTAATCCACAGATTAGTAGCTAGCATGAAGATTTTTGGATTTTTTTCCCCGTTTGGCGAGACCCGGTTCCAATCATTATTTAGATCTATTCTGATAATCGATTCCCTAAAGTTTTAGAATTTTTAAGCCCCAATTATAATTTATTCGCGATATACAGTGAGAACAACAAAATTCGAGAAATTTTGTATAGTTTGCATAAGTTAAAGTTGGAATCGATTTTTATTTGTTATAGTTCACAAATACATAGAAATGTTTTAGAATAATAAACAAAACAAAATGTAAAATAAAAATATTCTTCGTGTTAATGGGAATTTTTAGATATTTTCTATTAAAATTGTTTTTAAACGTACGCCGATGGTCATTTATAATTAATTCAATGACATCGATAATAACTGAGTAGACGATTAAAAGAATGAACATTTTTTCTTTCAAAACAATGTTTATTCTATCTCTCTACGACTTTCCATACGAAAGATAAAATCGTTTAAAAATTGTCACACGTAATCCCAACGAACAGCTGACGCGCAAGTACGTTTCCTGGTAAACGAAAAAAAAGTGTTTACGTCGGCAAGAAGGTTGGCGTTAAATTCCAGGAATTTATATAGGTCACTATACCAGACAGGTCAGCGGGACAACTTGAATGCAGGTCAATAGGTCACTCAATTTAACCCATATTTTATTTACATTTAATTTTCAAATCTCTCCGAAACTAAAAATCGTAGAAATTTCAATCTCGAACACCATTTAAAAGAATCATTTTTAAACAAACATTTTCATCAAATTATTCAACAATTTGTTATAAACAATTTATTTTAAATAATTTTTTATCAAACAAATATTAAAATTATCAAAATCTTTGCGTAAAAATATAATAATTCATTTATACGTTAAATAAATTAGTTATCAACAATTCATTGTTATAAACAATTTTTTTATTAAAAAAAAGATTACAATTAAACATTTTACAACTTAACAATAAATAATCTACGAATACAATATATATAACATTTACACATTTAATAATTTATAATAAACAAAGTGTTATATGTATAATGTAACAGAAAAATTTTTCGTCAAAAATATATATATTTTCTTTAATTGTTATAATCAAATAAATTCTAAACAATTACTAACAAATAATTTTTATTGAAAATTTTTTTATAAACCAATGCAACATTTTTTAATTTTTTATCTTTGAGAAAACAATATAATTCACTGTCAGAAATGTTTCTATGCGTACCTGCATCACTGAACAATTAATGGCCATCGGGTGTACATGAAAATGAATAAAACATTTCTATCGGTTTTCGTAAAAACAAGAAAGATAAATCTTGTGAAATGCACCGTAATTTGACTTTCGACGTTAGTACGAATAGATGACGCTTTTTAGGAATCGATAAAACGTAGATCTTATTAAAAATCAAGCTATGAATCATTAACTATTTTTAAATGATATTTTCTTCGTAGATCCTTATCTGACAAATGGAAACGTGGACTCGCCATATAGAAGTGGTCAAACAAACGGTAACAAAGGAACTCTGATAGTGCACAGTCAGCAAAGGGTAAGCATCGTGAAAATATTCTGCTAATTTTATTGCACTGCATGTAGAATTGTGTGTCTGTGTGTGTGTGTGTGTGTGTACAATATATTAATACAAACAATTTTTATATTGATATTTATGCACGTTAAATTGACACATCACTTTGAATTTATTTAAATATTTTATATTGAAATTAATATAAAATTACCTGTGTGTCGGTAATTATGACAATGGACTAAATAAAAAGAAACAATTATTTATAAATAA